ATTGGTTTTCAGAAGGTGCCCTGCTAACTTCCACGGAAGTTAGCGGGCACTCGATATTTTTTAAAATATGTCCGCGGCAAAATTATTCTTTTCACGGATAATTTACGGATAATTAACGGCAAATTATGCGATAGGAATTTTTGCTTTGAGAAAAAGTTGTCCTGCCAAGTTCAGAGAGGTAACTTTAAATCAGTTTGAAGCCAATGATTTGAATAAATTTCTGGAAGTCATCAATTTACGAATATGACCTATTTAAGTCAAATCGAAAAATTTATGAGATTTATTTAAAACAAAATTAGTAGAATTGTGCGAGCTGTGGAAAAACATAAACTAAAGATAGTTTAGTAGAGCAAGTTGACTACACAAGTCTCTAGAACGGGTGTTTAGAAAAATTGTATCATTATCAAAGAAATTGTCTCTTATTTATTTATCTAAGCAAAATATGAAACTTTCGCTAACATGTTTCTATAACGGGATGTTTTCTCTTTATTTTAACATATTAAATATTTTTTTCGGAAAACCTATTAAAAAGATATAACCCATTTCATGCGTACCGATTTTGAGTGAACTATGCTTTATACAAGTTTCAGAGAAATTAATCAAACTCAAAAAAGTTGTCATCAAAATTTAAAATGTTTTTAATCGTTAGAAAATTTACGGANACATATTAAATATTTTTTTCGGAAAACCTATTAAAAAGATATAACCCATTGCATGCGTACCGATTTTGAGTGAACTATGCTTTATACAAGTTTCAGAAAAATTAATCAAACTCAAAAAAGTTGTCATCAAAATTTAAAACTTTTTAATCGTTAGAAAATTTACGGATATGCAGTTTTGTAGCCCATTCAATTTTATTGTAATAAAGTGCAAGTTTCAAGTCGCTACAAATTACCGTTGATTTTTTAGAATTTTTTTATGGAGGATGTTGCGAATTTTCTTCCATATAACGCATGAACAAAACTTACTTTTATATGATTCCAAACTCAATTTCAACCTTCATATTAATATTACAGTCAATAAAGCCAAAGGCGTTTTTGCACTTGTAAAGCGATGGTCAAAAGTGTTCAAAGATCCTTATGTTACAAAAGCTCTTTTTACCACTTTAGTTAGACCTATACTAAAATACGGATCTATTGTTACCAAGTTAATTCAGATAGGATTGAATCAATTCAAAAACAATTCTTACGTTTTGCATTGCGTGATGTTAACTGGGATTCAGACTACAATCTCCCCCCTTACATTAGTCGTCTAAAGCTCATAAATTTGCCTCAACTCGCAAGTCGTAGTGAAATGGTAGGTATAATATTTATCGTAAAATTAAAGACAGGCTTGATTAATAGCCCGGCCCTTCTGGCTGAGGTAAGTTTTAATGTTCCCTCGCGACCTCCCTCTCTCTCTTTCGACCTCTATTTTGAATCCATGCAAAACTAATTTTGAACTAAACGAATCATTCCGTGGTTTATGTCAAGATTTTAACTCTCATTCCAGCACGTTTGACATATGGACTCGATTTTTGCTAAAAGAAAACTATCATTTCCACTCTCAATAATTTAAATACTATCTTTAGCATATCCAATCAGCTGATGAATTTGATTCTGTAGCTGAATAGTTTTAGATATCGACACTTAACAAACTCCTGTTTCCACGATTCGGCACCAAAAAAAAAAGAAAAAAAGGTTCCGTACGTCATGCGGACTGCGCCCCTCGTGTCATTTGGCGGGAATGGACTGGAACGGGTAAAAACCGTTGGGATTAATTAATTAAAGGCAGTGTCACACAATGACTACATTTGTACCGATTTGTGCATTTTTTACATCGGGCTATTGGTACAAGATAAAAAAATTGGGACGACATTTTTTTTTGCAGTCACACGATTATTACAATACAGCGAACTTCTATTGAAAAATTTGAACAAATCGTTTTTCGTGATTGTGATAAAGAAAAATGTTTACACATTCACACGTTTGGGATACGATTTGCACCAAATTTTGGGCAAATGCCCAGCCGTGTGACACTATCTTTATAGACTTTTAGAAATTAGGCGTTGTTGTTGTTGCTGTTGTAGCGGCTACAACAACCCCGCCCAGATCTGTTGGTATCTCATATGTTGTCGTCAAGTTCCACTAACGGCAACCCTAGGAAGCGTGCAGCTTCTGTGGGATCTGTCCACAGGGACAAGGCCGTTAGGATTGTCGGGTTTTCCCGGCATGCGAAGAGATGGTTCGAGTCATGTGGGGTCTCTCCGCATGCCGGACATTCGTTCGGCACATCCTCATTCAGCCTACTCAAGTAGGAGTTTAACCTGCTGCAGTAGCCGGAGCGAAGTTGAGCGAGTGCCGGTTCTACGTACGGGAATGACTCGGGGTTCACCCGACCAAGGGCTGTTGTTTCGGCGATCTAGCCCCGTTTAGGTCGGCGAAGTATCTCAGAAATTAGGCGTCGCAACGCTCACTGTATAGTTACAAAGGTGTATCTCGGTAATCGTTTTATCGATTTCTACCAAACTTGGTTCAATTATTTCATTAAGTCTAACTCAGCATATTCCCAGCAAACACAGTCTCTAGCGTTAGGGAAATTTGGATTTCTACATTACAATATTCCAAATGAATGAATCATAAATTATCTTTAAGTTCAAATTCATTATTATTTTAATGCAAATACATTTAATACAGATTTTACAAACAAAGCGTTTTATTTATTAAAGCAAAACAGCAGTTTGAAATTCACATTCCACTCCCATTAGGGATAAACATTAGAATTCGATTAGAGAGTTAATATTTTCTCAAGTCGAGAACTATGTCCCATTTTTATACCCGAGCGCACTTGTGCACAAGGGTATATTAATTTTGTTCACATAACGGTTGTTTGTAACAGCCAAAACGAATCGAGATAGATATAGACAAATGTATNTTCAAAATTGATGCTTGCAACAATTCTTTACCAAGAAATACGTTTGTGATAAATTTTTGGAAAATGGGCGTGGCACCGCCCACTTATGATCACATATATGTATCTCAGTAACCGTTCTACCAATTTGTACCAAACTCGGTGTGGTTATTGTGCTTGCCACATATAAGCAAACCGTTGAAAATTATTGAAATCGGACTAAAATAACGGCCGCTTCTCATATAACGGTAAATTTCAGAACTGCTTGAAACTTCAAAATCGAAATTTAAGGACTCTAATTTACTCAAAATTGATACGCCCCGGCTTACCATGTAGCCGTAGCTTTCGGTAAGGTGAAAAACATATATTTAATACGTGCGCCGGGTATTTAATATTCGGCTCTGCCCGAACTTAGACTTTCTTACTTGTTATTGAGATCGCTATGATTCACGATAGTTTTTCAAGTCGTTCTTTAACGTTTGAGATTGGAGAATGTGGCTAGTTCTCCAATCATTCTCTAATCGATAACTAACCTCAATGTTGTTATAGAAAACGTTTTAAATCGGGATAAACACTTCTGCTTATCATGCAAAGATAGTTTAGAGAAACTTAAAACGACGATATTTGATACCTGCACCGGGTATATAAAATTCGGTTTCGCCCGAACTTATACTTCTTTACTTGTTTTGGGTTAGGAGTAACCCAGACGACAAAAAATATATTACGATAATAATGACCCATATACATAAACTTATATATGTATGAAAGAATACACACAGGCGAAGCGATTATGTGTCTAAACCTTAAGTTATCGCTGAAAATTTTCTACCGTTATCTCATCTGAGTTCCCAATACTCCAGCACAATTTTTTTTCATAGCCTGTTAAAATATTTTACTTCTTAGATCATCTTGATACAACATTGACCGTTTCTAAATAATGCTCTGGCTGTTTGCCCGCCGGGGACTGTTGTTGAAACAGCATACAATTTCCCAAAGAGTTTTTGGGATTGTTATTGGACTGACATTCCTTGGCCAGATATAAATCAGGGTCGTACCGGTTACGTAGACTCGACTATCGTGGAACGTAGAAAGATCCATCAAGTGGTCTTACATTCCAGTTTCTTGGAGCTACTGTTATATGACCTCCACGACAATAGTACATACATATCGTCGTTTAAAGTACAAAACCGCGTATCAACAAAATGCAAAACCGCGTATGTTAGGTTGCATAAATTATTTTCTAGAGAGTAAAAACACTCATAAATATTTCAAAATGGTTCTCTTTTTTATAAAGCAATCGCATTTCAGGCTAGTATACTTTAGGACGAATGGATTGTGTGAGCAAATCCAATTGTTGGCAGCAAATTTCAGTTACGCGATTTTGCAGAATCGACGATATGTGGATGCAGTGATTTAGGCAAAGTTTCGCAAGCTTAAATAGGCCCAAAGCCAATTTCGATTTCAAGCGTTTAATGCTTAAATTTGAGTTGAATCTTCTATAGCGACGGTAGTTAATTAAAATATCGTCAAGTATCTTCGGTCAACCTCTTCTACCGTGTAATCAGGAGAGTAAATTATCAAAGAGGGTTAGGGTTAGGATTAAAATTACAATTGAAACAATGAGGCATATCCATAGTAGACTATAAAGATAGGGCCTGTTCGAGACACGTAATAAAAGCAGCATTAATGCCGCACTGATGAAAATTTACAACACAGTTGTAACCTCGGTTGTGATTGCAACTTCTACAAGCCCAGCTTTTCGACATGCTTTCCAAAGGTATATCTGTAAAAAAAAAACTTGCGGAGTCGACTTTATTTCGACTATGAGTATGGCCCAATAATGGTAAGCCTCTCCTACCGCATGTTTTAATTCAGATGTATGTATATCAAAACGGAATATACAAGTTTCTGCAGTACTATAAAATGAACACATATGAATCGAGAGAAAATTCACCTCCGTTGTGGGGCCCTGGCGCACTCATTTTTATTTTACATTTTTCTTCCTCAGGCGCAACATCCCATGCTTGTGACAATCTTTACGGAAATAAACAAGAAGTTGGCAGTGGCATATCGTCAGCGGCCACATCTTCTGCCTCCTCGTCCTCTTCATCTTCAATGACCTCAGCACCGACGACCAGTGGAGACATGATGTATTCCACAACGGCTCAACTGTCTATCACCGCAAGACAATCGCCCGAGCAAAAGCAGCAAGAACAGCAGCAGGATATTATATTGTCGATGGCTGAGAAGAGTGAAGATTTATTTCATCATGTGCAACATGATTGGAATTTCGGCGGCATAAAATTGGAACAGTCCACAGAAGCAGCGTCAAGTAGTTTTAACGGTGTGATTCAAACGCATCAAGGCGTTATAAAAGTAAAAAATTTAAATACGATTTCAGTTGGAGATGTGGCTATGCCAAGCGTGGAAGCAACTCAAACTGAAGAAGTCGTAGATTGTATAGGTGTAGAGGGGGGTGATGATGCAGCGGCGATTGTTAATTGCGGAGCTGTGAATGCCGGCGTTGATGTTGACGTTGGCGAGGGCGATGGAGACGATAATGACGTTATCGGGGTGGAGGCTGATGAAGATGACGATGACGAGGCGGAGGAGGAGGATGAGGAAGACGATGATGACCCGGATGATAGTGATGCTGTACGTGATATAGTTGACGAATTACAACAACAGCATCGCCAACTACTCAAAGAGCAGCAACAACAGCTACAGCAGCAACAGCAACTTGAGCAACAACAGGAATTGCAAGAACCCGAAAATCCAGTGCAGCGTGGCCATTTAACTTACGAGCAAGGTGACTATGAGGTACGTAAGCTTATCTAGCCTTTGGATGCTAAGTGTTTGGTAACCAATTCATTTTGGCTTGCAGTTGAGCTCAGATTTGATAAGTGACGTTCAAATGGCGGCTAACGAAATGGAAGTGTCCAGTACCGTAATAACCAATAGCAATTCGGATGACAGCGTTAATGAAATGAATATGGGCTGTAGCAGCAGTCGCCCTGATAGTGGCGTCAGCGGTGGCAATCTCACCATACAGTTGAATACACCGTCGCCAGCACCGACCATTGGCCATTTACATCAGCAGCAAGTGCAACAGCCGCAGCAGCAACCACCACAGCAAACTTCATCGGAGCGGCAAAATACGCCCCAGCGACAAATACTCGTCGATACGAATGGCCAAATTATAGGCAATTTCCTCGTTCAGCACCAACAACAACAGCAGCATCATCAACCGCAACAACAACACTTAGAACACCAACAGCAACTTTTGCATCATGCAGCACAGCAATTTACCTTTCCGGCAGCACAACCTCAAGCCCAACAACAACAACAACAACAGCAACAACAGGTCCAAACTATAGCACTGTCGACACAACAACATCTGCAGCAGCAGCAGCAGCAGCAGCAACAACAACAACAACAACAACAGCAACAACAACAACATGCACATAAGTCTCATCATGCTCTGTCGACATTACGTAAAGCCATAGAGTTGAGCACGAACGGTCAGCACTACCTAACGCCAGGCGCCATAGCGGCTCAGCAGCATATTGGCCAACAATTGGTGCTGCAGCAGCAGCAAGCGCCGCAACAGAGACACTTTCTGACACAGTCACAGGTTCCTACAGTGTCCGCGGCTGCTAATTGCAATATGGTTTCTGCTAGTCCAACTCAGCAGCAGCATCACATTCAAGTGCAACAACAACTTCAGCGCTTTCAGCAGCAGCAGCAGCATCAGCAGCAACAACAACAACAGCAACAGCATATGCCCGCCTTTCAATCATTGGCCACTCAAGCGCAATCAAACGCTGCAAAATATATTTCAAAGCAAATGAACCTTATTACAATGTCTCGTGGCACAGCAGCAGCAGCAGGAACAGTTGCCGGCACAAATGCAAGCATCGCCTCGGTAACTATACCGTCAGGTGCATCTGTGAGTACCTACCCACCTTTTAGTAGCGCCATCGCTAGTTCAGCGCGTTCAGCTGAGCTTATAGTGAATGCTGCCTCCAATATCGGTAATGTAAGTACATCGAATGTCAGCATTGCCAGTGCCATGAAAGGTCTAACACAAGCCGGCATCCCGACCACAATAGCCCAGCAGCGGCCAACAAGTAAATTAGCAACCGGCAAAGGGCGTAAAACGGTAAATAAATTGCCACCCGGTGCAGTTAATTTAGAGCGTAGCTATCAGATCTGCCAAGCAGTTATCCAAAACAGTCCAAATCGCGAAAATTTGAAGGCGCAGTTGCGACCACCGTCGGCAATTTTGAATCAACAGCTGCAGCATCAACCTCCGCAGCAACAACAACAGCAGCAGCTGCCACAAAGTAACGTTTCTACGGCTTTAACATTGCCATGCACAGGAGCCGGAGTAGCCGCGCCGGCAGCAACACAATCAACTGCCGCCATATCTGTAGCAAGTTCGGCACATCAAGCGCCCGCATCAAGCGCCTCTTCATCGCAGAGTTTTATCAAACAAGAGGACCTGACAAGCATTCCCGCAAATATAATGGGCGTTGGACGTCCTGGCGTATATAAGGTAAATTGCCGTACTTGATCGGAGGTGCATTTACACATACACTTCTAAAATGCTCTGCATTGAAATATGTTATCTTATTCGAATTATTTTTTTTGCATTGATTTTTAGGTTATTGGTCCGCGAATGGGATTTCCACGTAAGAAGTATGTTCAACGAAAACCTTCACCCACGCTTATAAGACATTTTTTCACACCACAAACGGCCAACGCACTACATACTAATGTTGCGGCAAATCCGCGATTGCATCAGCAATTAACGGTAGCAGCAGCTGCAGCGGCAGCTCAACAACAACATCACCAGCAACACGATTTGCATCAAAATGGAAATGGTGGTGGTCAATATGTGTTGGTGCATCGAGCAAATGTAGGCGCAGCTGATAATCAGGCACCGCGGGCATCTAGCGCACCGCCGGTACCACAAACAACACAGGTTCGTGAGTGTATAGTCGCATGTTCATTGCCACATACATATATTTAAAGTAGATACCTTATTGTTTCTTATAGAGTCAACTGCACAATATGAATGGAATACCGATAACAGGACGCGGGCGTCCTGCTTCCGTCGATATTGATGCTTCAAATGCAATGCTTGACCATAATGCGCATCAACAACACCAACAGCAACAGCATCTTCATCATCAAATAAATGCTATTAAATCGAATGCCTCTACAACGATGAGACGCAATTTTACATCAGGTATGTTCAATTTTTTCTATTTCATGTTTTCCGTTTTACTTGATATGCCAAAACTTAAATTATGCGTTCACACTTCCAAGATAACAGTGTTGAAATAAGCGTAGTAAGTATAGTTTTTTAAACATTTCATAGTGTTTTCCTAGGCAACGGTGCGTGGTTTGATGATTATTAAAGAGTTGTAACTCCTATTATGAATTTTCATACGATAGACGATAAACGCTTGCAAGCGTATCGTACGAAATCAGTTCTCGTATCATCGTTTTCATACGCCCGATATTTCGTGGTTTACTTCCATATATTTACAAATACAAGGTCAGCTGATCGTTTGACACTTTTCATGAACTTACAGGAAAAAAAACTCCGGACTAAATCCTGTAACTTATGACTAGGAACAGTTCAGTTACTCTCTGAAAAGTGTTCCCACTTACAGGTTTTATGTCAATAGGAACGACTTCCTGTAAGTTCTGACTAAATCCTGTAAACCGGACTGCTATTGGAACAGACTAATTGTTAACCAGCACAAATCAGGTACGCCAATTATCGGATTTCATACGACAACATCGATTGGTAATAGGGAATAACAGAATGCAAGCGTCTATCGTGCATCATACAAATTCATAATAGGGGGTAAATTAGGTCAGTCCAACGCTTTAGCCAGCTAATCACAAAGCGCAGAAACAGGGCTCGAATCGTCACACACGATATCGTACTACTCGTCACGTAAAAGCACATTTTTCGGACTATGACATACGTAAACGTACTCTTTGTCCCATTCAGCTTATACTGCCTGACGTATCACGAAATTTTCTTTCGTATCGTTTTCGATCCGTGAACGGATGTTACAATTCGAGCCCAGAATGCACAGTGGCATCGGAACTGCTTTGGCTATGTCTTTTTACTTTCAGTTCTATGAACAGTTGATCAATCTTCTATTTAAATCAAAAACACGAAAAAGAAAACATAAGAAAAATGCACATTATAAATATTCCAGAAGCCATTTTATAAACAACGTGGAAATTGTATATTTATATACTTAGCACTTTGTCGTTTTCTGTTGTACAAACATTTTCATGGATCGAAAGAACAGAAAGCAAAGATATGTTTTATTTTCGGTATTTAAGTTTCTAGCTTGAGAAACGGAGGGCCCCACAGCTTGTGTTTCACTCCCTTGTGAGAGTAGGTTCTAAGGTGATTCCATCCATTGCAGGAGTTGCACCTACCGAAATGGAGTTCGGTTGGAATCGTTTTTGGCAAACGCTGCAGAAGATTTCTAGCCCGGGGTTCAACTCGATGCCCGCCCGGGGAAGAAAGATGCGGAGCAATCCGGCTGGTTGTTGATGTTGTAACAGCATACAGATTCTCCAAAGAGTTTTTGGGAAGTGTTGCTGGAGGGGCAGCCCTTGCCCAGATAAAAATCTGAGTCGTTCCTGTTACGTAACACGACTTTCGTGACGATCTGTAAATTAAAACGAGCACTCATTAAAGATGAATAAATTGATCGGGTTCGTTGATCTTGGTCCCTTGGTCGGGTAAAACTCGATTCATTTTGGTAATACAAAAGAAAGGTGTGTAAAAAAAAACCTAATGAGAAATAAAATTATAGTTAAAAAAACAACAACACGCTTTTATTACAACAAGAACTAAAAAGAAAAAAAAAATTGATTTAAAGATTCGTTAAATAAGGATATGAAGTTCCCTAACTTGATGTTAATTATAATTAACCTTTTAAACTAGCTTAAAATATGATTAAAGTAATTGGCACGTAGTCATAGTCGAAATAAAGTCCACTGAAAAGTTAGTTGCAGTTATTTTTAACAGGCATCCCATTGGAAACATACAGCTCCCCATTGGTAGAGGGCTTCGGGTGTACGAATTTGTTGTAACATCAGGAGTTGAAGACTTGCTCTAGCTGCTATTCTCCTAAAATTTCCTCCAATCACGACGTAAGCAGATTTCCCATGTGAACTTGCTACAAAGTTCAATTCTGCCACTTCCTTGAAGGGATTTTCATGATTTCAGACTTAGTAAAGTTAATATCATTTATTGATATTGTTTTTGTTTTTTTACACACCTTTCCTCTTTCAAAAATATACAATTTCATAAAATTTCAATGTCTATTTATCATATTGCTCGAGCGTTAGACGATCTAGAGTCCATACGCATAAGTAGCCCATTACGCCCATTTGGGTACTTAAAGTTGACATTAGACATGTTTTATTCAACCATCACAAGCAAATAGCTAAATCTTGGTCAAATAAAACGAAATTAGCTTGTTTCCTATGTTAGCCTAATTTTGACAGTTGTTTGACTGCAAATAGTGTCAAAGTAAGTTTTTGCCTCTTTCTGATTGGCTGAAGGAGAAAATTTCTGATGCTGAATGGCAAT